GCCATGTGGCTGGCTTTGACCAATGGAGCATGAGGAAATGTGCCACAAACAGAAAAGTATTCCTGCTTCAGTTCTTGTGCTCTCCTGCTGCCCTGAGACCCCAGGTGACAAAGCCCAAGCTAGGCTGCTGCAGCCACATGGCCCAGCTGACAGTACCGGCCACCAGCTGTGAATGAGGCCTCCCTAGACTATCCAGCCTCAGCTGCCACATGACTGCCGGTACATGAGTGACTCTGGGAGATGGTAGCAGGAGAACCACCCAGCAGAGCCCAAACTGCTGACATCCAAAGGCATGAACAAACACAGTGGTCATTGTTTAAAAACACGAAGTTCTGGGGTGGTTCACTATGCAGCAATAGATAGCTGATACACAAACCTTTTAAAAAATACATCACTCAGTGGGCTGCACTGGAGAGAGAACTGGACCAGGGATGAAAAAACAAAAGGGTTTTCATTTTGTCTCTATATCTAATTCCCTGAGCCTTTGTTTCCTTCTCTGTAAAATGGGATAGTGGCCATCAGTCCTGTGTGAGAATTAAGTGAAAATCTGAGCATGAAAGTGCACCGTGTCCTGGCCTTCATGGCTACCTACAGTTAGTCAAAAGTCTGAGGACACAGTCCCCAAGACTGCCTCACTTCTGACACCAAGGGCAAGTTACAAGGGGTCCCCAAGATCACTCTCAGTTCGATAATTCACTAGAATGGACCACAGAACTCCTTGAAAATTTATACTCATTGTTATGGTTTATTACAGGGAAAGGAAACAGATTAAAATCAGCCAAGGGAACAGACACAGGGAAGAGGCTGTGAGGGAGGGTTCCAGATGAGGAGCTATGACATCCTCAGGATGTGTTACCCTGCTGGCATTGATGTGTGACAACAGAAAGGAGTACTGCCAACCAGGGAAGCTCCCCTGAGCTTCAGTGTCTGGAGTCTTTACTGGGGCTTCATTCCACAGGCAGATTAATTGGTCTTATGATTACCAGGTTGGTGGATGCTGCGTGACCCAAAGCCCCCATCCTAAATCATGTGGCTGGTCTTTCTAGTGCAGTCAGCCCCTGCCCTAAACAAAGACACACCTATCAGGTGACATAGATGTGACATAGATGACCTCCCTGAAGCCGATGGCACAGGTCAGACCTTGATTTGGGCCAGGCCAACTTCTTTGCTACACAGCAGCCATGGTGCCTGCTGTGGAGGGTAACACTGTCCCCACCTTCCTGGCTTTGGGGCACTGGGCAAGCTGCTTCACCCTCCGGACTTTGGTTTCCTCATCTATAAAATGAGGGTAGTAATGTTTTTCTCCTGGGACTGCAAGGATCAAGCATCTGGTCCAGAATCTAGTATGTGGAAGCAAACGTTTGTGCTAATGCACAGTCACCCTGTCTCCTTTAGTAAGAAAAGCTATGAATGTATTTTCCTGTTTTCTTAATGAATCAGAGTTGTGGTTTGGGGGTAAGCCTCTTCCCTTCTTGGAGCCTGTTTTCCCATCAGTAAAATAGGAAACCTGGACTCAGTGCACACTAAATCCCTTGCAGGTGACATGGGTTCCCAAAGAGGTCATAGTGGGTAGGCAAAGTCTGACATAAATCTCAGGTCTCGTGGCTCTTGGCACAACGCTCATCACAGCAAAATCCCTAGCTGCTAGGCTGGGTGGGGTGGACAGGCAGGCAGGGATGAGGGGCCGTGGAGTAATCGCCTTGCCCAGGGAGAGGGGAGGGTATCACCGTGATTCCTTTTTGTAGTGGTGCCAGTCTCCTTTCTGGCTGTCACTTTTCATACCAACCCTGTGTCTAACCTCCCTCAGGGTGCTAGTTTTCATTTGCATTGGGCTTGGGACCCAGAGACCCCGCCTTATTAGCAGTAGTGTCTAGGAAGAGTACAGAGGCTCTGACCAAGCCACTCACTTGACTGCTGGGACTTGGGACGGTATTCCTGGCAGCTCTGAGGCCATCCCTGTGGATTTCCTGATGCCCAGGGGTTTTCTGGAGTAGGTGAGGCTGCTGGCTAGGTGACCCCAGTAAGTGAGAGGTGCTCACAGTATACCCTGGCTGAGGCTGTGTTTGGTGACCTCTGTGGCCCTCTCGGGGACCATGCTGGCTGGCACCTCTCCCAGCCTCCAGAGCTACGTGGCTGATTTCCTCGTGTCCGGATTGGAAGGAGTGTTCCTGTGGCCAAGATCCATCAGCCAAGTGTCTGTGGTGAGCCAGGCACTGGGCTGGCTGTGTGGCCAGAGTGTCACTCAGCCACATCACAGCAGGCGCCAAGGAAACCCAGGCCTCCAGCTCTCTCTTCTCCCTGCCAGTTCTCGTGCGCTCCATCTCCACAGAAAATGTGAACCTCTTTGGATGGGGTCCAAACACAGGGAATTCCATTGTTCTGGCTTCTGCCTCAGCATCTGGAGACCAGGCCCAGGGCTGGCCATGCTCAGCTTGGGCCTGGCCTTTCTCCCAGAGCCTACAGGTCTTGGGACAACCATTCAGGAGCCTCAACCCAGCCACCTTCCTGGCCTGGGACACAGACCCTGGAAAACTCCTGGCCTGGCTTGTCCCCTCGCTCTGCTCCTGATGCGCCCAAACAGCTCAGCCCTCAGTGTCTCTCCTAGCAGACTTTCTCACCCCTGGTTTCCTGACTGGGAGGTGATTCTCATGGCCTCCCGAGCAATGGCAGAACCTGGGCTTCAGTTGTTCCATCCATAGAGTGGGGCTAAAGTCCAGCCTCCAGCCACAGCTGTCCCAGGACATGCAGAAAGAACCATCACAGCTCTGGCTAGTGAGTGCCAGGCAAAAGCAGGGCAGGTTAGGGGAGGCCTTCTTTCATGCCCTGTCCCCTGCTGGGGACTCTACCTGGCATTCTCTCTTTTAACCCTCGTCCTCCTGAGAGCTGGGCTATTCAGTTCCACTGGGACTTTCTCTCCAACACCCAGACCCCAAGCAGCATTAGGTTCGGAGGGCTCAGGCTCTACCAGTAGAGACTGGCTGTGGTTTTCCAGAACCGTATATTGTGGGTCCCTTTTTCTCTGCCCTGGACTCCCTTTATCACTCTCCCTCCAAAGACTTCCACAGGGAAAAGTTTCACCAACCAAACACATAGCAAGTATTAATCAACAATTAGCACCTTTTCGTTTAGTACCAATCAGAGGCACAGAATGCCTGCCAGCCAGAAGCTCTGAGCAAACTGATGTATTAGTTGCCTAGAGCTGCCATGACAAAGTACTACAAACTGGGTGGCTTTCGATAATAGAAATTTATTGTCTCTCAGTTCCGGAGGCTGAAAGTTCAAGATCAGGGTTGGTTCCCTCAGGAGGCTCTGAGGGAGGAGCTGTCCCATGCTTCTCTCCCAGCTTCTGGTGGCTCCAGCATTCCTTGGCTTGTAGACACACTGCTCCATCTCTGCCGTGTATTCACTTGGCCTTCTTCCCTCTGTGCTTCTGTATCTCTGAGTCTGAGTCTATGTCCAAATTTCTCTTTTCTTATAAGGACACTACCTTAACCCAGTATGACATCTTAACTTGATTACGTTTTGACCCCATGCCTCCATGTGTGGATCCTGATAGGGCTCCCAGACTGATGCTGTGGGCATTGGAGTCCGACAAAGCAGGGGGCCTGTGGCCATGGGAGCTGCTGCTAATAACAGGGAAGAGAAACTATCCGCATCCATGAAAACAGTTTCTGCTGCTGACAAAACAGTCCTATTCATCCTTAGAGTCCTGTATTGGGGAACCTCGAGGTCAGAGTGAGCCAGGGAGGGGGCAGTGCGGGGCTGACATCCTCGTTGTGCAGATGAGGAGACAGGCTAGCTGTGGAAGCAGTGTCAGGCTAGGAGTGGGCGTCCTGCTTCCCACCCCGTTCACAGCAAGCAGTCACCTCGTGCCAGGGAAGAGGATTCACCTGACCAGATACCAACCCACCCCTGGAGGTGGCCTTGGTCTTAGGGGTGTTGGGGGGCCCTTTATTCTGCCCAGAGCTCCCAGCATCCTTGGCTCCACTGGAGAAAGAGGAACCTGAACCAGAATCCCCCCCCTGAGTTCCTGGCTTTGTGAACTTTAGGGATGGAGAATGTGACCACCCTCCTCTTGAGCCACCGTTATTTCCTAATTGGGCAATGTCTCTTAAGTTATCCAGAGTGGAAACCACAGCTCTGCCCCAGGCCTTATCAAAGGAAAATAAGCGAGTCAGGGCAGTCAGATGAGCCGAAGGACAGGCCTTTTGGGAAGCCACCGCCCAGAGCTGTCCTGCCTGCAAAGAACCCAGCCCAGCCTGCCAGGAACCCAGCCCTGTCTGTCCACAGAGCTAGCCAAGCGGGGCACAGCAGATGATACAGCCCAGGTGTGGAAACCTGTTTCTCCGAACACAGGAGGTCCAGAAATAAGGCCCCAAGGTGGTGATGAGGCCCAGCCAGGAGGATGCACTCATTGGCCCTGGACTGAGGAGGGAGGGACGAGCCCCGGCCCAAGTACTTACTATGTGTCCGTCCTCCTCCATTCGGGCAGCTCCCATCTCCACTTTAACAGAGGAGGAGACATAGGCACAAGCACACTTCGCAGCAAGCATGGCTGTGTGGCTCCGAAGTCCACGATTAGCCCTCCTTGGCAGTTGCCTGAATTTTCAGGCTTCGAAACACCAGGACACAGCACCGTCTTTGTCTTAGCTCTTGACAAAAGATGCAACCTTCCTCAAAGGGAAGGCCTGGTGGGGATTGAATCTCCCCAGCAAACTCTTTACACACACGCCTTTGTGGCTTATGTGCCGGGACCTGTTCTGAGCACTTTACACTATTGTACCTCTATTATTCTCTTTTACAGATGAGAACGTTGATGCACGGAGAGGTTAAGTAACTTGCCCAAGATCACACAGCTCCAGTACAGATCATGCCCATCTTACAGACAGGCCAATCGGCCCCTTGCAGGGCGCTGCGGACTGCGGGCTGCGTTCGGCGGGGAGACCAGCCCAGCCCCTCCTGGCCGGACTCCCACAGCAAATGTGCAATATAAACGTGCAATGGTCGAACCAGAGTGAACGCTTGGAATGAAGCACGGCTACATATGCAGCCAGGATTCCAGACTCCATCTCCACACGGAGAGACTGACACAATAGCCCTCAGCCGAGGGTCCTCCCCAGCCTTCCGGTCCAGGAGCCCCTCGACTAGAGTGAGGGGGTGGGCAGAGCCTCAGCCGGGGGCCAATAACAGCACAGGGGCGGGGCCTTCAGGCGGAGGGGCCGAGGGTCACGGGGGCGCGGGGAGCGGGGCCCTGGGCAGTGGGCTGGCGGGCGAGCCGAGGGGAGGGACCAGCGGAAGAAAAGACCAATGGAGACGCAGGGGAGGGCTGGCGGG